ACCATACTCATACTCACTCAAATTCCGTTATCCCCATTTCATTTCAAAGATAAAGATATAATAATATAAGCTCACAAATTTCTTTTTATCTTTTTTTGTTTCCCCCGTAACATGAGAGACAAAGACAAAATTCCCGAATTATTTGCTAAACCCTAAGGAGGGAGAGATGTGCATGAATGAATCACCGAGTTTCTAGAAGCACTTATCTTCAAATATCTATAAAGCGGCACACTCTCCTCTTTCCCCTTCATCATCTTCAACCTTCTCTCTTTCTTTCACTGAAACCTTTACAAATATCTCACTCTTCTTTCCTTCCCTTTTAAAAAAAGAAACCAAAACAACGTCGATGGAGCTTATCCCCAACCTTCCCGACGACGTTGCCCGCGAGTGTCTTCTACGCTCCTCCTACAAACAGTTCCCTGTTATTGCCTCCGTTTGCAAATCTTGGAACCGTCAAGTCTCTCTCTCTCAGTTTTTCCAGCAACGAAAAGCTTCAGGACACAGCCAAGAGCTTCTTATCCTGTCACAAGCCCGGGTCGACCCGGACAGAGAATCCGGATCCGGAAAGAATTTCGCCACGCCGGAATACCGGGTCGCTGTTCTCGAGTCCGGATCGGGTCTTTGGACGGAGCTTCCTCCGATTCCGGGTCAATCCAACGGACTACCTCTGTTTTGTAGACTGGTTTCTGCCGGGTCTGATCTTCTTGTTTTGGGTGGGCTCGACCCGGCAACATGGCAGGCCTCTGATTCGGTCTTCGTCTTCAGTTTTTTCACCTCCAAATGGCGCGTGGGGGCAGCCATGCCAGGTGTACGGAGATCCTTCTTTGGATGCGCTTCAGATTCCGATCGGACGGTACTGGTTGCGGGTGGACATGACGAAGAGAAGCAAGCGCTGACATCAGCAATTATGTATGACGTGGCAGAAGACAAGTGGGCCTTCTTGCCTGATATGGCGCGGGAACGAGACGAGTGCAAGGCGATGTTCCACGCTGGCAGATTCCACGTCATCGGTGGATACACCACGGAGGAACAGGGCCGGTTCAGTAACACCGCTGAATCGTTTGACGTATCCACGTGGCAGTGGGGTCCACTGACGGAGGACTTCCTCGGCAGCGATACCGTTAGCCCCCCGATCTGCGCCGCCGGTGAAAACGGAGATATGTACGCTTGCTGGCGTGGCGACGTGATGGTGCTGAGAGAAGACACGTGGCATAAGGTAGGCCAGATCCCCGCTGATGTGTACGATGTGGCATACATGGCAGTGAGGTCAGGAAAGCTGATAGTGATCGGTAACGGCAAGGCTTTGGCTGGTAACGGTGAAGCCACCGTAGGGTTTATCTGTGATTTATGTAGTTTTCGATGGGTAAAAATGGAAACACATATTGGTCACGTTCAAGCTGGCTGCTTCTTGGAGGTGTAACTGAGAAGCTCCAAGTCTTTGGACTTTGAACCTAATTCCCAACAAATTTAAGTCGGTTTTCTCGTGCCATCAATCTATAAATCTTTTTGAAAAAAAGAAAAAGAAATTAAGTTGTGGGAATGTATATTTATCTTATATGATATGGTATCTATTCTCATTCAGAGACTGCCATTTACTAAATGTTTTTCTGTTGTATACAAAACTTATAAATTAAACTTCGAACTTTTAGTGGTTAACAAAACATTCGAACATTTAATTTGTCCACACAAATCTTCTAAGGTTGTATTTGATTTCAAGAGCTTGAATGGGTTGAGTAGAGTAGCCCATTATTTCTTATTAATGTAGGCCCAATAAAGCAAATGTTGTTGATGCTGCCTTGAACAAATGGACGGCTGGTATTGGAGCAGAGGTTTGAAATTTGGATTACACCTGAGGGGCAGAGTTCGAAGATAGACTGACAACTGACTTTAAAGAGAGATGCAGAGACACCCTCTGTTACAAGTAACATCTATTTAATACACTATTTTTTTTTCATCCCTATAACATTTTTATTACTGTAAAGCATGAGAAATGAATCGTAGCCGTTGGATCTGCAGAGGAAATAGACGCCGATTCATTCTGCGTCACAGCTTTGTCATTAAATCCAACGGCTGGCAGCTTTATGACATAACACACACACACAAAAAAAGAAAAATGAAATTAAATGGAGCACTCTTACACTGTACCCTATCCTATCACCACACAGAATTTAGCTTATTTTTACTTTCTTCCTTAACCAAAAAGTCAACACAGTTTTGTATCTATTATAAGTGAGCCTATATAAATGTAGGGTTTTTTTTTTTACCCGACATGTAGGCTATCTATTCATTCAGCTCATACATGCATCTACTAGTTTTTAAAGAAAATAGACGTGCCCGTTACAAAAAAGATGGAAGATGTAATTAAATAATAATGATTGTAGTTAATTATCCCAAACTACACAGCGTGCACGTATTAGATATCATAAATTGGATCGAACATATCTCTCTACTCGTGGAACAGAAATGATGTCTTCCTTGACTAATGTAAGTAACTGCCGCGTATGAAAATAAGAGATTTTATATTGTAATGGAAGTGGAGTACACGCGCCGGAATAGTTGACCCTTCTTCTAAAAGGTTAATGGAGATTCCGATGGTGGTAGGAAAAAAAAAAAAGAAAGTCTTAAGGTTAATACAAAACCAAAAAAGCGGATATTAGCCCTAACAAAAAAAATAAGTAAAAAGCAACAGCGATATCACGTGTCACCAGCTTACGATTAATAGCCTAAACTCAAATTGGGATCAAGAGCTCTCTCTCTCTAATTAATCTTGTTCAATCCGGTGATTAGTGCCGTTAGGAGAACGAAGAGGAAACAAAGGCAAAAGCTCCGGTGCTGGCTCCGCGCCGCTTCTCGGACTCGGAAGGAAGTAGAACCCTTTTTCGGCTATGGCTTTCTGCTCTTTCTCGTCCGGAGGCGCGTGGTGATCCTCACGCGCTGAATGTGGGCTCACGCGCGCCCAGAATGGGTCGAGGTGAGAGACTGGAGAGACGAGGAACCCTCGGTGGAAATGGCTGAAAGAGTCGTTGGTGATGTTGTTGAGCTTCAGCTCCATTTTCTTGGATGATTGGCGGCGCTCGTGGAGCTTGAACGCCGGTTTCTTTGGGGTTAAGGGAAGCTTCTGCTGTGCGGCGGAGACGGCGGAGGCCGAGAGTTCCAGTGGTGCTCCCGTGAGTTTTTGGACGATGTTGCGGAAATTGGAAGGGTCTGCTTGAACGAACATGGTGTTTGGGTCGGTGGCATAGCTCGGCGGCTGCTGCTGGTGGCTCATGGCGGTGGAGATGATGAACCAAGTTGTAACCTTTTAGAAGAAGAAAAGAGAAGAGAAGAGAAGCGTGTCTTGTTTTTGTCTAAAAGACATTCGTCTGCCTACTATCCAATTATTTAAAGAAGACCGTCTTCTTGTGTGTTTTTTCTTGACATTTTTGCCAACATATTTAATTTACCCGTTTAAAAAGTTCTAAACTGTTTGACTTTGCACGTCTAGAGATTTTTAGTTGATAACTTAACTAAAATTAAATATATATATATATATACTCCTCTTTTGTTGCTAATAATTCACTAATATATTAGTATATAATAAGATATGATTCGAACACCGATTTAAACATTTTCTACATGATTATAATGTTAAAGTCAACCCCCAAGCGAACCATACGTTACTAGAATTGTTGCCAATTCAGTACATGTAAAATATAGATTATTATATGATAATGAAAAATAGCCGGTCCATTGTTGACTCGGACCTCTGTAAGCAAATTGATTAATATTTCACAGCATCCCACTAGTCTAATATTTCACACTACTATATTCCCCTCTATATTCACAAACGTTTATATGTATATATATTACAAATTATAATTTATATGTGGTTTTAAAACATAAGCACATAGAGTCATAGACTGTTATAACTTTTTGCAGATACTTTCGTAATAGTAACTAAGACCGTGATATGTGATAAGTATAATTATCACACCCATAATATATAATTTTCGAAATTTGAATTCACAAAAGAAATAAATGCAATGACGAGAAGTGCATCATAAATTCTACAAAATTTATGGAGATTCAAATTTTGAAAAGCAACAGATTAATTGGATTCAGACGGTAGCTATAAAACCCGTACATCGTTGAGTATACTAGGTTTTTTAGTTGCATTTTTTTTTTTGTTTGTTAGAGATTGTTATTAAATTTACTTCTTTTGTCAAAGATCGTTACCTGAAATTTTCTATTATACTAATAATAATAAACTTTTCTAATGATGCACCCTACTAAAAAAAAAAAATGCACCATTAATTAATGGTAGAAAAAGAAATAGGAATGTTGAAGATATAAAATAATTTGAACATTAAAAGGAAAAGAAAAGGAAAAATAACGGCCTTTTATGTTGCGTGAAGGAAGTAGGCGAAAAGGGGAGATTTTTTCTTCACACTTCACGCTTTTCTTCGTTCCTTCCCTTTGCTCCATTTGACTCTTATAGAATGTTGTGTTTCCATTGAAAACTTCTCTATTTGCGTTTTCTTGAATCTTTAGTTAACAGAGCCATTAAAAGAACACACTTTCTTATACCCATTTGTCTATTTTTCTTTCTTCTTAGATCTGGCTGTTTCACAAAGAAAAATTTTGATAAGCAATACACAATAGTCGCCATATACATTATCTAACTAAAAACATATTATTCTCCTAAGACAATGTTATGCCCGGTCAAGCATTTCTTTTAACTCTGTTATGGTTGCTACTTGCTACCGTTGAATTTAAGGAAGATAAAATAATAATCAGGACATACGTAGAGTTTAGTGGTTTATGCTAGTATTGTACTATTGTTTAATGGATCAAAACATATTACACTTGGATAAGAAAAGGAAAAAAACCAATAACAAGGTAGAACCCATTTTATGGTCAAAACAACAATACAAGGCTCGTTAAGAGCCCACTTGGTTAGAATAGAGAGGAAGGAAGTACGAAATACGAGAAATTCGGATATACTTGATCTGAGTTGATAATGCTTCATCTGTTGGGTCTGAAACTATTGAAAATACTTCTCTCTTGTCTTTTATCTGATGCAATCTCACTTCAAACACTATTAAGCATCTATTAATCGATCATTCAAACGACTGTTTATTCTAACGAACATAATATATTAGACGTTAAACATAACGTGACTTAAAAAGATAAGACAGCCCAAAGTGTGGTATCACAAGTAATCGGACGATGTGGTTTTAGGGAAATCATTCAAGTCTTGCTCAGAGAGAGAGATCAGCAAGATCGAATGTTCTCTCGACCGCTTTGCACCAAGACTCCACTTTCTTCTTCCTGGTTTCTTCTTCCATAGCCGGTCTGAAAACTTTGGAGTTCTTCGCCTTCTCTCCTGACTCGAATATGTCTTCTTCTTTCCAGAATCCCACGGCCAGTCCAGCTGCATAGGCTGCTCCCAGTGCCGTTGTCTCTATGTCCACAGGCCTCACCACCGGACTTCCCATCAAATCAGCCTGCAATATTTTTTAGAATGAGGTTACATGTGAGCAATATACACTACAACATCATCACATTCATACGAGCAAAAACCATACCTGAATCTGCATCAGAAGGTTGTTGGCCGTGGCGCCACCGTCAACTCTCAGCAAGAACTCCCCTTTCTCGTTATCTAGGGAGCCCTTTTCTCCGGCGTCTTTGTTCATGGAGTCGAGCACGTCCTTTACTTGGAAACACATGCTCTCCAGCACCGCCCGTGCGATGTGAGACTTGTTTGTGAACCTCGTGATCCCGATGCACACACCACGAGCGTCTTCTCTCCACCACGGCGCAAACAAACCGTTAAACGCCGGCACAAAGTAGACTCCTCCGGTTGAATCCACCATAGCCGCCAAATCCTCTATCTCACTTGCGCTCTTGATAATTCCAAGGCTGTCTCTTAGCCACTGCACAGCAGCTCCTGCAATCGCAATCGAGCCTTCCAGGGCATAGTTTGTGGGCGCTTGAGGCCCGAGCTTGTAAGACAGCGTGGTCAAAAGGCCGTGCCCCGATTTGATGGCGACTTCTCCTGTGTTGAGAAGAATGAAGGCGCCAGTGCCGTAAGTGCTCTTGGCCTCTCCTTTCCGGCAGGCTTGTCCGAGCATCGCCGCGTGTTGGTCGCCGAGACATCCCGCGATCCTGATACCTGGAATGGGCCAGCCCTTGCAGATCTCTCCAATGACCTCGGAATTGCTGACAATCTTGGGCAAGATTTCAGCAGGTATTCCGAGAGTCTTGAGAGTCGCGTCGTCCCAGCTCAAGGTGCTGAGGTTCATGAGCATCGTGCGAGACGCGTTGGTGACGTCGGTGACGTGTAGACCGCCGTTGGCACCGCCGGTCATGTTCCAGATGAGCCAGGTGTCGATGGTGCCAAAGATGGCATCACCTTTCGTGATACCGTCCTTGACAGCGTCGACATTCTCCATCAGCCAAAGAAGCTTCATGGCGGAGAAGTAGGTGCTTATGGGCAAGCCACAAGACTCCACAAAGTGCGATCTACCTCCTGATAGTTCCTTCTCTAGTCTCCTGTGAAAGATCAACAGAAACAAACAGTTGAAGAAAAAGAAAGGAAGGAAGAGAAAGAAAGAATGTAAAAATGGATCTGGATTATGTACCTGCAGATGGAACTGGTGCGAGCATCCATCCACACAACCGCTTTGTGGAGAGGAAGCCCAGTGGATTTGCTCCAGACGACGGTCGTCTCTCGCTGATCCGTGAGCCCGATGGCCTTCAAGCCACCGTCGACGTTGTGCCCATCGGCTGTGGCTTTGTCGAGGGCCTTGGCGATGCACACTTTCACACTTTCCAGTATCTCCATTGGATCGTGTTCCACCCATCTTCGTTACCCGAAAAACATCACAACAACAGAAAGTCATTTTCAAAATCAATTCCACTAAGCCAGAGCACGGAATCTTCCATTGATTAATCCATGAATTTTGGAAAATGATGACAAAAAAAAACAAGAAACAAATAGTATTACAGATCCCCCAGAAATCCGAAAGTTGTAAGATTGAAATACACACTATGAGCTTTTGGAGGGATCGAGCTTCCAAAGATACGGAATCGTGTTCCACCCATCTTCGTTCCCCAAAAACATCACAACAAAACTCAAATCCACTAAGCCAGAGCACGGAATCTTCAAAAAGCAATTTGATTAATCCATGAATTTTTGGAAATGATTAGAAAAAATAAGAAAGTTGTAATTTTGAAATACGCAGTATAGACTTTTGGAGGGATCGGGATCATAGAACATTTGGAAGGTGAGAGAGAGAGAGAGTGAATTACCCAGCTTCGGGGTAGAACTGCGTGAACTCAACCTGGTGAGAAGCAACGGAGCGAGCATTGTGGTCGTAAATGATGAATCTGGTGCTCGTGGTTCCTTGATCGATTGATCCGATGAAGCCAGCTTCTCCTCCCATTTTTCTGGGTTTGCGTTTTCGATGATATATGATAAAAGAAGAAGAAGAGAGGGAATGGGAACTTATACTTAGAAAGCTGAATCGGAGTCAGAGATTTTGTTGGAAACTTCACCGTTTATCTATCCATCCGCGCATTTACTCCACCGGATCATCAGAATGATGTAATTAATTCTGGTTTCTATTGGTGGATGGTCAATATTATGACTTAATTTTATCTTTATCTGCCACGTCGATTGTCTATCATTGGACAATCTTCTAACCGTTTCTATCGTTGACTTTTGAACAACTCGTATGTCTCTTCACAGATCTGGTTCGAGTTTTTTTTTTTTTTTGTTTTTTATAAGTTTTATAATATATAAAAATTCGATATCCAACGAAAGCACAATTAAATAGGGTTTAAAATGCTGGTTCCAAAAATTAATTCTAATTTTTTTTATATACCGATAATTAATCTGACGCAATTTATAAATGTTTAAATATTTATATATATATCTATAAAAAAAAACTCAGATTTCTAAAATTTAACGGCTGGTCCTTGTAAGTTTTGATTAAATAATACTATGAGCTAAAGTTTTCTTTATTAAAAGATATGGATAAATGGTTGACCAAAAGAAATATGGATAGATAGAGTTTATCTACTAAAGATATCGACTGGTAAAGGTAACATACCAAAATTTGGTGGGCTGATTTACCAATAGTCTATATATGATCAAATGTAAAATCAACGATAGTTTAGTGAGCTTGATCGGACGGTAACACATCGACAAGACGACAATATTAATATCAATCATTGCACTACAAAATTAATGTATATTTTAAACTGCTAAGTAGTGCTAATTACTATCCAAATGCAAACACTGTATAATGGAATGTTGTTAACTGTGATTTTAACCCAAAAAAACTTAACTAAGAACACTGAAATTAATAATTTGATCATTTCACTTTTTTTTTGCTGTTTATACGTATTTAAAATTTAGTAAATTGTTCGATACAAATTTGCTATGCACACAAATACAAAAAAACTTGGTACGTATAAATAATTAAATTTTAACTCTGAAATTTATTAAAATAGAGAGATTGTTACAAAAGACGAAGCTAAGTAGTCCAAAACCATATACTAGCATCAAACTCATAGTAAAAATGAAAAATATATGCTAGAGAGAAGATTCACGGTCGTGTACCTAAGCTTAATGTCAAGCAACATCCCATTGGCTTAGATATCGCTCCTACAGAAGGAGACTCTACGAAGTGTTGGATTGAATTGCAAGCACTTTCCTTTGAGGCTACCGTATAAAAATGGTAAGCTGAAGATTACGAAATCATCATTTAATGAGTACTTTCCAAATTTGGTTTGATTCACATATATTCTCCTCTATGATCACATCACTTTGACAATCTCCTTCTTTCTCTCTCCGCTCTCCATGCCGGCCGCTTCTTTTCGCCGTCTCGCCTCTAGCGCCGCCCTCATCGCCGCTGCATCTGGTGGCGCTATTTTCCTGACACCGTCGCTTGCCTCCAGCGACAGAGGCCGTCCGTTTGTGGAGTCATTGAGGCGTACGATTGGTGATCCCACCGCCTCCGTACCGCCACGGTCCGTTCAAGAATCGGCTCTGATTGGAGCCAGCCAGCCTAATCCGCTCGATATCCTCGTCATCGGCGGTGGAGCCACCGGTTCTGGTGTCGCTCTGGACGCTGCTACCCGTGGCCTCCGTGTTGGTCTCGTTGATAGAGATGACTTCTCCTCAGGGACCTCCTCGCGATCAACAAAACTGATTCATGGAGGTAGTTACCTTACATATTTCTAATATATAATATAATGTTTGGTTTTGGTTGACATTGGTGGGTCTCTCAGGGGTTCGTTACTTGGAGAAAGCTGTGTTCAACCTTGATTATGGACAGCTTCGGCTTGTGTTTCACGCGCTCGAGGAGCGTAAGCAACTGATAGAGAACGCTCCGCATCTGTGCCACGCACTGCCCTGCATGACACCTTGTTTCAGCTGGTTTGAGGTTGTCTACTTCTGGATGGGACTCAAAATGTACGACTTGGTCGCTGGCCCACGCTTGCTGCATCTCTCCAGATATTACTCTGCAAAACGCTCTGCTGAGCTCTTCCCAACACTCGCCACCAAAGGCAAAGACAGGACTTTGAGAGGCACTGTTGTGTATTACGACGGCCAGATGAATGATTCGCGTCTCAATGTTGCTTTGGCTTGTACTTCCGCGTTAGCTGGTGCTTCAGTTCTCAACCATGCCGAGGTTGTGTCCCTTCTCAGGGATGATGCTACTCAGAGAGTGATCGGTGCGCGCATTCGAAACAACCTCTCAGGTACAAAAATGACTTACTATACATAGCTAGCATTGAGGAGTCCATATGTACTTAATGACATGCTTGTATTATCATCAGGCCATGAGTTTGACACGTATGCCAAGGTTGTTGTTAATGCGGCTGGACCCTTCTGTGACTCGGTTAGGAAGATGGCTGATCACAAGTCCAAACCAATGATATGCCCAAGCAGCGGCGTCCACATCGTGCTCCCTGACTACTATTCTCCTCAAGGGATGGGCTTGATAGTCCCTAAGACTAAGGATGGCCGCGTTGTCTTTATGTTACCATGGTTGGGTAGAACCGTTGCAGGCACTACAGACTCTTCCACTTCAATCACTTCGCTTCCAGAGCCCCATGAAGACGAGATCCAGTTTATACTCGACGCCATCACCGACTATCTCAAGATCAAGGTATCTTCTTTTTCTTTTCTTCTTCGTAGAGATGCTTATATAATGATCTAGTTGATCATTTCAAGAAAAATCTCCCCTGCAGGTTCGACGCACTGATGTTCTTTCCGCTTGGAGTGGTATTCGTCCATTGGCCATGGATCCAACAGCAAAGAGCACTGAGAGTATGTCCAGAGACCACGTTGTCATCGAGGATTGTCCTGGTCTGGTTACAATCACAGGCGGAAAATGGACAACTTACCGGAGGTATAATGAAGGGTTTGTATGTTGTACAAATTAAGTTCCAAGTCTGTGTTATTGATTTCTCATCTGGTAAATTCATCGTTTCAGCATGGCGGAAGACGCGGTGGACGCAGCAATCAAATCGGGAAAGTTGAAACCGAGCAACGAATGCGTAACGCAGAAACTACAGCTTGTAGGTTCTTACGGATGGGATCCATCTTCCTTCGCAGCTCTTGCACAACAATACGTGCGCATGAAGAAAACATACGGTGGTAAAGTGGTCCCAGGGACGTTGGACACAGCTGCTGCAAAGCATTTGTCTCATGCTTATGGTTCAATGGCTTTCCGAGTCGCCACCATAGCTCAGGAAGAGTGTCTTGGGAAGCGTCTAGCACACGGCCATCCCTTCCTTGAAGCAGAAGTTGCTTACTGCGCAAGAAACGAGTATTGTGAATCAGCAGTTGATTTCATTGCCAGGAGGTGTCGAATCGCCTTCTTAGATACCGATGCAGCGGATCGGGCGTTGAAGCGTGTGGTGGAGATCTTAGCCACTGAGCATAAGTGGGATAACTCGAGGCAGGTCCAGGAGTTGAAAATGGCAAAAGAGTTTCTTCAGACGTTCAAGTCTTCCAAAAACGCACACTTACACCAATAGGCTTCGTTTCTTTCTCATAAGATTTAGGGATTTTTTTTAATTAAAAATTTAGAGATTTTGACTTATTGTTGGATGTTGTTAATTTGCATCCTTTGAGATAAAAAAAAGAGAGAGAGATATCGAGGAGAAGTTGAAATATACTTAGAACACATAGTTAATATACTTATAACACATAGTTTGTATTCTTAGATTTATTTCAATCAGAAGTTGAAATATACAGCATATATTATATAATAAGCATATGTGAATCGTTTAAAATAATGTTTGAATTAATCGGAGAAATGGTTACTTTTATAGCATTGTCCGCATGTATTAATGTAGACGTGGAGCCACGTAAGTATGAGAAAGATGAGGGTGATGACTAGACTGACAGTGTTTGAGATCAATTCAACCTTTAACGTAATGAAGTGAAGCTATCTAATGTGAAATATATTATAAGGTCCCATAATTTAAATGTTTTTTTTTTTCTCTCAATGAACAAGAAGAAGAACAATAACAGCTCTAAACATACACCGAGTTAAAATCACAAATACGACATCATGATCTATCCATTTATTTAAAATTTTCAGAAAACTATGAATGCTGTTTATTTAAAACAATTTGAAGGTTTTTTTTGTTAAATTTTAATCCAGAAATATATATATAGAGAAGCTTGAATTCAATTTTTTTTTTAAATTTTTTTGGGTCAAAATCATATTAATTTATATTGAATTCATATAATCTGCATACAGAATAGGTATTCTTGGTTGGCCCCACATCAACGGCAAGGATGGACTCAGGCGTTACGTCGCGTAGTATTAGAAAACTGCTGGAAGATGCAAAAAGCTACGGGAATTGAGTTGAGAGAGCCGGTTCGAACATTTGGTGAGTCGAAGCCACGTGGATGTGACATGGTTATCTATCCAAACACGACGTTGGATGAAGAAAAAAAGTCGAACGGTTCATATAAGCAGGTGTATAGTAACAAACGTGCACATAAGCGTAGGAGATTCTAACCGCTATTAAAGAGTAGTCATTTAAAACGACACGATATCGCTCACCGAGTTGCTTCACTCCCTCTCCAACTTCATTTCTCTCGACTCTCGTGAAGCATCATCACTCTCTTTTATTAGTCTCTCGTTTGACCAGAGTACGGTACTAGGAAAGATAAGATGGTGTCGAAGGCGTTGTTACCGGAGTTTTGGACGGAGATTTTGGTGCCGGTGTGCGCCGTGGTGGGAATCGTGTTCTCGCTTTTCCAGTGGTGTATAGTGTCCTGCGTGAAGCTCACCGCCGATGATGACGCGTCGTCTCCTACAGAAGACGGGAAGAACGGACACGAAGATTATCTGATGGAGGAAGAGGAAGGGGTTAATGATCAGAGCGTCGTGGCCAAGTGCGCTGAGATTCAGACCGCTATTTCCGAAGGTGACACCTCTTCTTAGATCTCGAAATCTGAAAATGTCGCTTTCGGTTTATATAATTAAACTCGTAATTGATTTTATCCTCGTCGTGAGTTCGGATCTGCCAGAGAAGTCAAACAAAACTATCTTTACTCTTAGTTTTGGATTTGGTAGGTCATAGCTTAGCTACGAGCGTTACACGTGCCTCACACGTGTGGTTTAAGCTTTCGAAATTGCCACCTAGACAGAGAGCTTCATGGTTTTGGAATCTTGCAAACTTTTTGCTGTATTGTTTAGTCAAAGCAAACCTATTTATCTCGCGATTTTAATGATGCCTGTCCCGTGTGTGAACAGGTGCAACCTCTTTTCTGTTCACCGAGTACAAGTATGTTGGGGTCTTCATGGTTATCTTTGCCGCCATTATCTTTCTCTTCCTCGGATCTGTCCAAGGGTTCAGCACCAAGAGCCAGCCTTGCACTTACGACGAGACCAGAACATGCAAGCCTGCTCTTGCGACTGCTGTCTTCAGCACCATCTCCTTCGTGCTCGGCGCTGTGACTTCCGTCCTCTCTGGTTTCCTCGGGATGAAGATTGCCACTTACGCCAATGCTAGGACCACGTTGGAAGCAAGGAGAGGCGTTGGGAAGGCCTTCATCGTTGCCTTCAGGTCTGGCGCCGTGATGGGTTTCCTTCTCGCTGCCAACGGTCTCTTGGTGCTTTACATCACTATCAACCTCTTCAAGATTTACTACGGCGATGACTGGGAAGGCCTTTTCGAGTCCATCACTGGTTACGGGCTCGGTGGATCTTCCATGGCGCTCTTTGGCAGAGTTGGTGGTGGAATCTACACCAAGGCTGCTGATGTCGGTGCTGACCTTGTAGGCAAAGTGGAAAGGAATATCCCCGAAGATGATCCAAGAAACCCAGCTGTAAGTAAGCCAACAGGCAACGTTTATTTACCAAAACTCTTGTCTTATTACGTTTGTTAACTGACTAGTGTTGCTGTCGTGTCTCAGGTCATTGCTGATAATGTCGGCGACAACGTTGGTGACATTGCTGGGATGGGCTCTGATCTTTTTGGGTCGTACGCTGAGTCGTCTTGTGCTGCCCTTGTTGTTGCTTCCATCTCCTCTTTCGGGATCAACCATGATTTCACTGCCATGTTGTTCCCGTTGCTCATCAGCTCGATGGGAATCTTGGTTTGTTTGGTCACCACCCTCTTTGCCACCGACATCTCTGAGATCAAGGCAGTGAAGGAGATCGAGCCGGCGTTGAAAAACCAGCTTATCATCTCCACGGTTATCATGACCGCTGGAATCGCTCTTGTGTCGTGGACTGGGTTACCATCTTCCTTCACAATCTACAACTTCGGTGCACAGAAAGTTGTGAAAAACTGGTAAGATCCTTTTTGATTCAAAATCTATCTGCAGTTTTTTATATTTAAAATATTGCGGTGGGTTTGCAGGGAGCTGTTCCTCTGTGTTGCCGTTGGTCTCTGGGCTGGACTCATTATCGGTTTTGTTACTGAATACTACACAAGCAATGCATACAGGTAAAGAAGAGACTACTTCTTTGACTCTCTCTCTCTCTCTCTCTTTCTCTGTGACCAAATCATATACTTGTCTTTTCAGCCCTGTGCAAGACGTGGCAGATTCATGCAGAACTGGAGCAGCCACCAACGTTATATTCGGGCTTGCTTTGGGATACAAATCCGTCATCATTCCAATCTTTGCGATTGCTGTCAGTATATTTGTTAGCTTCAGCTTTGCTGCAATGTACGGTGTAGCTGTTGCTGCTCTCGGGATGCTCAGTACCATCGCAACTGGCTTGGCGATCGATGCCTATGGTCCAATCAGTGACAACGCTGGTGGTATCGCTGAGATGGCCGGGATGAGCCACCGCATCCGAGAAAGAACCGACGCCCTTGACGCCGCGGGAAACACCACTGCCGCCATCGGAAAGGGGTTTGCGATCGGCTCCGCTGCGCTGGTGTCGTTGGCTCTGTTTGGTGCGTTTGTGAGCCGAGCAGGAGTGGAGACAGTGGATGTGTTGACACCAAAGGTGGTGATCGGGCTGCTGGTTGGAGCCATGCTTCCGTATTGGTTCTCTGCGATGACGATGAAGAGCGTGGGAAGTGCAGCTCTTAAGATGGTGGAAGAAGTGAGGAGGCAGTTCAACACCATCCCGGGGCTCATGGAAGGTACCGCGAAGCCCGACTATGCTACATGCGTCAAGATCTCTACTGATGCTTCCATCAAGGAGATGATTCCTCCAGGCTGCCTCGTCATGCTTACTCCTCTCATCGTCGGTTTCTTCTTCGGCGTTGAGACACTCTCTGGCGTCCTCGCTGGCTCCCTTATCTCCGGTGTTCAGGTGATTATTAATTCTTACTGTTGGAACCGAGTTTCCACATACGTTAGCTGAGAGTGTTGGATTCTCTTAAACAGATTGCGATATCTGCATCCAACACTGGTGGAGCCTGGGACAATGCCAAGAAGTACATTGAGGTAAGGAAGCAATTTATATATTTTGGTGAAAATGAAGAGAGGTTTAAGTAACGATTGTGAAACCATGAGCAGGCGGGTGCATCGGAGCACGCGAGGAGCTTAGGACCAAAAGGGTCAGAGCCACACAAGGCAGCAGTGATAGGTGACACGATAGGAGACCCATTGAAGGATACATCAGGACCGTCGCTTAACATATTGATAAAGCTAATGGCTGTTGAGTCTCTCGTCTTTGCTCCATTCTTTGCGACTCATGGAGGTTTCCTCTTCAAGATCTTCTCGTGAAGAAGGCTCAACTTTACTCTTTCATATTTTTGTTCCGAGGAGATGCTTTAAGTTTTGTTTAATGGTCTTGTGTCATTACGAACGATGTTCGACTTGTATTTTCTGCTGTCTAGATGTTTAGGGAAAGGAAAGTAAAAAGGAACATCTTAAAACCTGAATCTTGTTTTAACTTACATTCGAAAAAGAACATCTTCTGTTTCATGAATATATTGAGAATGTGAAAATGAAAGAAAGCGGTTGATGAGAGGATGAAAATGTTTGGAACAAGAAACACAGAAGATAGAATTTCTCGTTTTATTAATTCGGAAGAGTCTACATCAAAACAAATACAGTATATGGTATATATAGTATCAAAATGTTAATCCGAACCAATGACGTGGCGGTTGGAGGCTCTCACTGTAGCCGGTGGAGATTGGTAACATTTCTGATGACAAGCCGCGCATTCTGACGCTGGTGACGCGCGACTGCAATGGCTTCGACAAATCACACTGCACTCTATTTCCGTTTTTGCTTCGCCTCCTATCACAATTACCGCTAGTACCATCATTATCCACACCATGCTTATGACTTTGCCCATTTTTTTTTTTATCTTCTTCTGTTTCTTAATCTTTATGTTTATCAATGAGTTTGTCTGTATGATGATGCAAACGTCTCTTCTATTTATATAATTCTCAGACTGTGATTGTTTTTTATCAAAATTAATGTTAGTCAAAACCTTTTTCTGTTTCCATGTTTTGGACTTGGACTTAATGTTACATTATGGTTTTATTTATTGCGTGAACTTTTGACTTGTCAAAATATTTTTTTCATTACTTTTCTTTGACCGGTATAAATTTTCCATGTGGACATACAGATTCATATATGCACCCTACGTTTCTTATAATCCATCATTAATTTGAAAATAAACTGGCCAGTATCACTAGCTTTGAGTTTCCTATTAGATGGCGAAGAAAATTCGAACCACAAGTTTAAACATGTAGAAGGACAAGATGGAGCAAAGAAATCACAAAGCAAGATCAGAGCAAGTTGCAAAGAGATTAAAACACGCATCTTTTGAGACAAGACTATATCTCTCCTCTGTATCCACCAGAGCCGAAATAGTCTTTTCTAGAATTAGATATGGCCACACTCTTCTGGTGCTCCAGTTTTGGACAGTCTCGAATACGATGTCCGAGACCGCCACAATAAGCACAACCCTTGACACCACTCGCATTCGCAATGGTCTCTGCCTCTTCCATCGGATCATTCAGCTCAGCGAGGACAGGCGGGATCCTCTGTTTCGCTTCCTGCAACAAGTGCTTCAAATCGAGCAGCGTCGTCTCGCTTTGGTTCTTGTTTATAAACGTCGTTGCTATCCCCGTTTTCCCGCACCGACCTGTTCGCCCTATCCTATGCACATAGTTCTCAATCTCCGCAGGCATGTCGTAGTTGATTACGTGCTGTATATCAGGGAAATCTAAACCCTTTGAAGCAACATCCGTCGCGACCAAGACGTCTTTTTTCCCCGCTTTAAACGAAGAGATGGCGTACTCTCTGTCTTCTTGGTCTTTCCCTCCATGGATGGCCACAGCTTCCACTCCTTTGAGTAACAGGTACTCGTGAATATCATCAACATCAGCCTTGTTCTCACAGAATATTAGAACCGGCGGAGAGGTTTTCTGCAGGCACTCGAGGAGGTAAACAATCTTTGCTTCTTGTTTGACGTATTCAACCTCCTGGATCACATCGAGATTCGCAGCTCCAGCTCTTCCTACGTTGACAGTCACAGGTTTCACCAGAGCACTTCTCGCAAAGATTTGAATCTTTGTAGGCATTGTGGCAGAGAACAGAAGTGTCTGACGCTGGGACTTGAAGTGGTCAAAGACTTCCCTTATGTCATCCTCAAAACCCAAATCAACCAACCTATCTGCCTCATCCAGTGTCAGGTACCTATATCAAAAGGAAGGTAAGCATCCAAAGAATGTAGCGAAATGAGCATATAATAAGAACAAAAGAGCCAAAAAAAGAAGAAGAAGCAAGTGTTACCTGCAAGCATCCAAGCTCATCTTTTTCTTGGCGAGCATATCCTTCAACCTCCCAGGGGTTGCAACAACGATGTGAACACCTCTCTTGACAACATCCAGCTGGGATCTCATATCAATTCCTCCGATGCACAGCAACGACCTCAGTGGCGGGTACCCAGCCTCGACTAGAGGAGCCACAAACTGTTCAACCACTTCGTATGTCTGCCTAGCAAGCTCCCTAGAGGGACACACGATAAGCCCAATGGGACCTTCTCCAGCAGCGATAGGCATCATCATCTCCTCCTGGAGAGCAATCATGATCATGGGAAGCACGAAAACCAAAGTCTTTCCCGAACCTGTGAAGGCGATCCCAATCATATCTCTTCCTGACAAAATCACAGGGAGACCCTGGACTTGGATCGGAGTCGGCTGCACTATCCCTTTCTCCTTGAGCGTGTCGAGAACAGGTCTCGGGAACTTCATATCCTTGAAGTTCTTGATCGGCGGAGGAATATCCTCACCATTGACAATAATATGCCACTGCTTCCTAATCAAATCCCTCTGTTTACTCGACATCCTCCTAATATGCAAAGGGGGCTTCCAACCCGTTAACAGAGGCTCTGTATAGGTGATACCTTTGGCCAATTCACGAACAGACATGAGCGTCTTCTTATCAGATAAATGCTCCATCATCTCCTTCTCTTGAAGAATGATTTGCTCAGTAGCACTGACCTCGGGTACATCTCGCTTGAGCTGAGTTGCTTGAACCAGCAAGCTAGGTTTAGCTTCAGCGACCTTATCCTTCTCAGCCTCTTCCTCCAACTCCGACACCTTACCCTTCCGCTGAAGTATCTTCTGCGCTTCCATCGCTCTACGCTTCGCCACTGGAACATACTCCACGTAATCATCATCCTCTTCCATGATTCAATATCCTCTCAGTAACTTCTACGAACCAAATGAATCGATACCTAAATCAAGCCAACAACAAAAATCAGCAGATCTCTCGGATTGGAAACAATTTCTAGGTTTCACTAACCACCGACCCGGAAATTCTTTTACTTCCGTAATCGCACGGCGTCTGATGCTAAGGGACCTGTAATCTTTATTCGGCCTTTAGTGGGCCTCTAGTGGGCTAATATTTATGCTAATTAATAGGGCCTAATTTTTTCATTGGACGTATTATTGCTTGATTTGATTTTCTGTATTCCTTCGTTATATGTCTGTTAATAGGCCCGTTATTTATTATGTCTATTGAGTGGGCCTCTTTATAAGTCTATATTGGGCTGTTAATAGACTTACTATTATGTCTCTGGAATTTTAGTGGGCTTATATTTATGCTAATTAAAAGGGCCTAATTTTTCACTGGACCTATTATTGCTTGATTTTGATTTCTGTATTCCTTCCTTGTATGTCTGTTAATAGGCCCGTTATTTATTATGTCTATTGAGTGGGCCTCTTTATAAGTCTATATTGGGCTGTTAATGGACCTACTATTATGTCTCTGGAACTTCAGTGGGCTTATATTTATGCTAATAGGCCCGTTATATATTATGTATATTGAGGGCATCAGGGTTCTTCATTTCGAGCTCACAGGTCGATTCCTCAACAAGAAACAAAATTTTGCAGTTTTAGAAGAGTCGGATACAAGATCACATGGTTTTAACAGACATATAAGGAAAGGATTACAGAAAATCAAATCAAGCAAGCTTTAAAACCATGCTCTAACTCCTCCCGGTTCAGATTCTTGCCAATGAAGACGATCTTGTTGACCCTCGCCTCGTCTTTTCCCCATAACCGGTCTGGTGATCCTTGGAATATGTCATGGACACCTTGAAACACGAATCTCTCCTCCATGGTGTGCACCGAGAGGAGACCTTTCATTCTGTAGATATCCTCACTGCGTTCCATCAGTAACGTCCCGAGCCACATGTTTGCCTGATGGATTGTTTACACAGTATGAATATCAGAATCATTTTCTTCACAAATGGGATGGGACACATTTTATTTGTTACCTTCTCAAGGTCCAAGCTCCCTTCGCAAACAATACTCACTGAAGTAACACCGGGATCATGGGTGTGATCATGAGAGTGATGATGCTCTGCAGTTTCAGAGTCATTAGGTTTGTGATGTGAGAGACCAGAACCAAAAACCCATGTTTATAAATCTGAAGCACACAATCAATATAACTAATAAAGGCCCTTTTTCAGGTACAGCCCTTGACAAACTTACCATGTTCGCCGTGGTGATGGTGGTCATGATCATGGTCGTGATCATGGCGATGATCGTCGTGACACTCATCATGATCTTCTTTTTCATCTTCATTCACAGAGCTTTCGATTCTGATAAAGCAGGGTTTACGTAACAAACAATTTAAAAAACACCTTGATAAATGCATAAAGCTACAAGACTGCAGATGAAATACTCTCATTAATAGAACAAGAAGCAGACCTCTCTAAATCAAAACCTCCAATTCCAAGAACATAATCCAAGTCAACGTTTCCGTACTTTGTCCGCGTCATCTGAGCCATGCTGTTTATTGTCTGCATGTAAGCAGAGGAAATACGTTAACATGGGAACAAGTCTAATAAGAAACATGAACAAGAAGAAGCAGGATCGACCTTTATGCGTTGCACCACCAGACCTAATTCTGACTCACCAACAAGATCAGTCTGCAACAAAGTAGAATCACTTTTCAGAATCTTATTATGATAACGGACAAAGTCAACCTCTCAAGACCACTAATACACTATCGCATTCTCTGGAGATAGTTAGGTTCAAAACTGTGGTTACCTTATTAACTATGATACGATCTGCATAGGCTATTTGTTCAACAGCCTCATTGACAACACCTTTGGGTTTGACCTCATCTAGATGCAAACGAGCATGTTTAGCATCAACCAGAGTAACAACGCCGTCCAGTTTCACATCACTGAAAATTTCATCCTCCGCATAAAAGGTTTGGATAATCGGGGCCGGGTTTGCCAAACCTGAAAAAGGAATTATACATTACATGTTCATTCCCCCAAACTCTTTATCAAAGAAAATCATCATCATAGTAAATAATGTTCCCTACCTGTTGTCTCTATCACTATATGGTCGAACTTTCCTTTCTTCTTATTGACTAACTCTGAAATCATCCTCACGAGATCCCCCCTAACTGTGCAACACAGGCAGCCATTGTTGAGCATCACTATATCCTCTGCTCCCATGGATTTAGAAGCAACAAGTGATCCGTCAATGTCAACCTCCCCAAACTGAGACATGAATTAGAAAGCATATAGCGTAAACTCATCCCACATTCAACTAGTGATTAGAGGAACAACATACCTCATTCTCTATCACGGCTATGCGCTTCCCATGATCTCTGGTCAGTATATGGTTCAGCAACGTCGTCTGTTCATCCGTGAAAACGTGAATCAGCAAAAGCAAACTAGAATCTGGATTATAAATCCGTAGTAAACATTTCTTCTTATACTTGGCAGGTATCATCAAAATACAGGAAGCCTTAAGAGTAGAATGAAATGATAACACTCACCTTGCCAGAGCCCAGAAACCCTGTGATTATAGTAGCTGGAATTCGGTTGTCCGGTGGAATCTTAGTGGTGACATCGGCATCTTCGGTTTGCGGTGGCGCCGGCGCGGAAGCTGAGGCCGAGACAGAGGAGAATCTTCGAAGGCGATTGGAACTTAACACCGGGGAATAGAACAGCGACGGCGTGGTTCGGACGGAGACGGTCGTACCTCTGAGGCTGGAGTTAAGCGGGGCAGCGGCAGAAGAGAAGCGATAGTTCAATACGGTAGCGGAACGAGGAGCGGTGAAAGCGAGGAAGGTAGTGGCTATCTCTAGTTTCGATAGCGTCGCCATTTTTAGTAAAGAGGTATTGAAACTTGTACAAGCTTCAGCCTGAGACGACAATGGCGATAATTTTTCTAGTTTGCGAATTTTTCAGGTCGATTTTTTTGAGGATATGATTGTTTTTGTTGTCTTGATACAATAGTTCATTTGGGCCGCGTGGGCCGGACAGCCTTCATTATTCGATTACTTGTATAAAGAGAAAATTCAAAATCCGAATGCACATCACTGTTTATGCATTGCAGATATCTTGCTGAGTTTTTGATTTGTTTTGCTTCATACCAATATTCAGAATGAGTTTTCTTTTGTTACATTGAGGGGAAAAAAGACAGAAAGCAATCAATAACGAATCAACCAATTAGGAGTTGCTATAGAGAGAGATATATGTTACATTAATCCATTCACCTAATAACTTTGTTAGGATGCTTTCTTCCAACAGAAAAAGTATCGGAAAATATCTAAAAAAACCCGAAAGAAAACAATAACAGAGGAAAGCAGGGTCAGCTTCATATCATCTCTGAGGCTGATCGGAGGCGGAAGCTCCAACGGAAGGCGTGGACGCGACAGCGCTGGCTGAGCCATTCTCAGGCGGTGGAGCCACTCCCCATTTACCTTCTGACTCAAGCGGCTCGAATATATGGACCCCACCGTCTGAGAGACCCACGGCAAACATATTGGGCTCTTGCGGATGTGCCGCAATCACCAGTGGATGCACATTCGAGTTGCTGCAGACACACACAATGGAGATTCAAGATTTACTCTGTCTTTCCTTTCACCTAAAACCAAGATCATTCACATTTTTTTAATAACTCACCTGAGAGAAGCTGGCAAATACGCAGAGGGATTGACTCTGCAACGCAATCGAAGGTTCGCAGAGCTGAAGACACAGATTGTAGCATCCATGAAACTTGCGTATATCAATTGGCTATCACATGAGAATGTCGCATGTGTGATTGGAGCTGATGATTCACGCACAGGCCACTGAAATTTAAAACAAAATAAAAAAAATATAAACAAACTATCGGAAAGGGTTTCAGATGCAAGGAGAGAGAGCGAGAGACTAAAACCTGCTTCATGCAATCAAGCTTGGTCGTTTCGTATATAGCCAGCTGAGTTTCATGGACCACGAGGAAGTGTACTTGATCTTGGTGAAACTGAACACGCGTGTCTGAAAGAGCTCCCGTCGATCTTCCTTGTGGAATCTGCAGAACCTTGCTTTTCTGCTTCTCCCATCCATCCGTGTTCCATACACAAAGCTGCACATAATATAAAAAAATTGTATTAAGACTCATATTGGTTCTTATTCTTCATCTGAATTCTTGATTACAGGAGATGAATCAGGCACCTGAGCGTCTGCTCCAGACGAAACCAGAACGTTTAGTACGTTGGAGAAGGCGAGGCCGGTTATCCTCTTAGAATGTCCTTTAAGCTTGCTTTTGACCTCATCAACGCGAACATTGTAAATCTGTATTGTACTATCATCCATTCCAATTGCAATTATATTGTTGTCTTGAGGGTGAAAAGCCAGAAACGTTGCAGCAGGCGGAGGCGGCATGAAAGTAGCCATTGTCTGCACTTGGCCAACAACATAAATCAATAAAACACTGTTTGTATTCACTACGCAGAGCACTGGCTTTACCTGGGATCTTACCTTAAACGTCATCATGTTAAACAAAGAGATTTTTCCTCCGGATGCTGACATCACATAGGAATCATTCTTGGACAAAGCAAAACACGGTACGGCTTCCTCTGGATTAGTTTCAGTTACATCGTTCGTCATTAAGATCCCGCTCGCTGGTTGCCACTGCTGTGGGGGTAAACAAGCCGTTGCCTACACAAAATAAAATTCAAGAAAATTGAATCTTTCCTTATTCTGCGATGTTTAAGGCAAATTTTAGGGCATATGTACCTTTCCAGTTGCGTTACGGTCATTTCGCTGCCATTTCCACAGCATATGGATAGCATTTGATGCCAATGCCAAAATCGCATTTCCAGAATTTGTGAAAATCAATCTTGATATCTGCAAATGTTTTTTAAGTCGTTAGAATCAAAGCCACATAAGTACAGCCGTTATGCTAGTCTCTGTGCTGATACCTTGGTGACTCTCATATTCTCAGGGAGTCTCAACGAGCGGCATTGAGAGGGTTCACCGACTTCAGTAAGCTTCCATATCTTAGACTTATCATTTGATTCTTCAGTGATCACTGGCTTCACATCCACCATATTTCGCGAATCTCCATTCTATTAGAAAGGAAAGTGAGGAATCTATGAGAGTGGACGCAGACCAAAAGATAGAAAACACTGATGGAAAAAAACCATTCGATTTTCGTACCATTCCGGGGATGGAAACTACAGAAGCAGGCCTCTCTGCCACCGCAATGTTATTAATTGCAGGCTGCAGATGTAAATGAAAATTTGAGTGTGTTTAAGATATTTCAATGTCGGGGTTAGTAATTTGCTTCTTGTACGTCCAATGAGTAAGAAATTCAGTACCTTGGAGGATTCAGAAGATAAGTTCTCGACCGTGTGCAATAGCCTTAGACCATCTGTGTTTGCCATAACCTTAATCATATTGTCATTTGCAGAGACTGCCAAGAGAGAGCCTTCCTTGTTAAACCTGATTCGTGGGCTTGCCTACAAAATATAGAAAGCCAATGATGACTACAAATGAAATATATTCAATTTTCAGGAAGAATTGAGATATTTGTTTACATACCTGGAGACCTCCATCAGCATCAATGGCAGTCAAAAGCTGTATATTGTCCATATCCCAGAACTTAATGGAGAAGTCATCACCCGCCGCAAGATAGCGGTTTTTTGTAGTATCAAATTGAACAACACCGAGAGAACGTTTGTGGAATCCTTGATAAGTTCTCTTAACAGCTCCTTCGCTTTCGTTCCACTCAACTATGTACGAATCCCCATCTTTACTCGTCCCACAAGAAAATAGCCTATCAATGTGAATAGAGAAATATAATTAGACTTTAAAATTCATTATTACATCATGACGAAACAGAACAGAACCAAGGCATAGAAGTGGTGAGAATCATGCGAATAACCTAGTTCCATCAGCACTGTAGGCCATCGTTGTACACCAGCGACCAGGAGCTTCGTAGTCAACCCGAGAACCCATATTATCGTATAACCACGCTTTTATTTTCCCGTCAAGCGCAGTTGAAAAGATGAACTTGAGCACATGAAGAAGTAATAAGTCAAGACCAAAATAAAATTGAAAATGAAACCGTTTAATTATTGCTACTTACCTGAATGTTTTCCTTGTAGTGAGGGCAGATAGAGTAAACAGGAGCTTCATGGCCTTCAAAAGTATGCCGTTTCACACCCGTTGCAGCATCCCAGACCTTAATTCAAAGTATTGATTAGTCCCCTTCTTTAGTTCCAACAAAAAAAAGGAGTTGTGGAAAGAAAATCAAAAGGACTGAACCTTGATGGTTTTGTCATCACCACAAGTAGTAACACATAGTTGCTTGTTTGGAGTGGAGAATGCAATGTCATTTACACCCCCAACATGAGCATCAATCTGAAATCAGAAACTACTATTAATCACAGGAAACGAAAGAAACGCTCGTAAAAATGTTGTAAACCATATAACACCTCAAGGTGTTGCCTCATATCTTCACCACCGTGATAAGAGTATAGCTGTACAATATGTCTCGAATAAGCAACTCCTGCAGTTGAAAACGCGCATATGAATATCCAAAGCAGTTGGCATTGCATTTCTAATCTCAAGTCTTACCGAATAAGGAACCATCCGGGCTCCAACTCACACAGTTGACAGACACGACAGGTTCTTTCACCAAAGCAGCCTAAAGACCATAAATATTGATCACTGAAGTTTCAAATAAATACTAGAATATAAGACTCTGGTTGTTTTTCAGAAAGAAAGGCACCTGCAAGGGCATTGAACATTTACTCAAGTCCCATACTTTGAAAGTCTTCTGTACTAGACGTTCTCGAGAACCGACTTCCCATAGCCCAATATCCCCTACGTTTGTACCAACTAGAACAAATGCAAATCGAAGCAAGAAACATCTGATGTTACAAAAATATCTGATGATGTTTTTATTACAGAAAATGGATATACAGAGCATGAAACAAACCTAGTAGCAGGGTCTGTTTGATTGGATGGAAATCCATGCTCATAGGAGAGGAGCCTTGGTTCAAAGTGCGTGCTACTGTCTTAGGCAGGTCATCAGGTGCTTTGAAGGTCTGAGTATGACCGTGGGCCTGCCCCGGGAATGTCATTGGTAACATGTTCACACCTAGATTCACCTATATATGAAGGAGCAATGAAGAAATACGTATAAACTAACATCACGAGTAGAGTAAAATATAATTTTCATGCGTCAGATTTTTCTCACCTCGTCAGAAATTCCCATAGGTCTTGTTCTTTTAGAGACGTGGTCTGAATCACCTGATGGATAGTCTAGAGCGGAATTGCTTGGAGGAGTTCTCGGGTGCTTCAAGGCTGCTAAGGCCAAAATAGGAGAAAACGTTACATATATCGCAGGTGAAACTTAATGGTCTTGATAAAGAAAAGGATCAAAATTTGAAACAAATAACCTTGGATGGATGGAGCACCGAGAGCAATGGCTCCTCCAGACACAGCTGGATGAGGGACAGAGGAAGGACTAGACATCCAACCAGCAAGAGGTGTTGGAACCGAAGAAGGTGTTGGTTGAAATGGCTGCAGACATAAAGGCAAGTCAGAGCACGCCATGTAAAGGTCTAACTATAGAACTAAGACAAGAATGAGCACAAGTCAACTGGGAATTGACTTACCCCGTGTGCGCCTAAAGGAGGAAATCCCCCGGCTTTTGGTAATGATCCAAGCAGCGGATTGTTGACAGGGGATGGTGCTCGCGCATCATTTGGTAGGCGACAGGAGTGATCCACAAAAAGAGTCTTTATATCAGGATTTGGCCTCGGGTTTTTACAAAGCTGATGTTGCCAGTTTAAGCTGCAAGTTATGCAGAAAGTAAGAGTTGAAGCAGCTGAGGAATGAAAACTTGAAGTGTACAAGTAAGGAAGATCAATACCTCTGGTTAATCAGAGTCCTCAGACGTGAGTTTCTAAGGGTAGGAAACTGCAGTTTATCACGGAATAACGGATTGGCTTCAATCAACTTCTTAAGTTCCACC